AAGAGCCGTCCACCCTCACGGCGGGCTGCGAGACAGACGTAACGCATCCAACGTAGTTAAATCCCGTCGTGGTACAAGAACAGATAAATTAGTTTTAATTTGCCCTATTTTATTTTCATGTTTGAGTTGTTACACCTGCATTTATCTGAATGGCCCAGGTCCTTTTTATTACTGGTTTTTGTTTCAGTATTAATCGTTGTTTCTGCTTACAGATTTACACACTGCCGGTCAGCTCACCAGTCTGTTCGACAAGAATTTAATTCTTATAACTTTAAACCGGGTTTAGTAAAGGATATTGAACTCTGCTTTTATCCAGGCTCATATAGCCGTAGATGCTGAAGCGCCAACCAGTCCAATCAATAAACTCAAGTAGTGGTTGAGGCACTATGCTACAAGCCGGAAGGTCGCGGGTTCAAGTCCCGATGAGGTCATTGGATTTTTTTCAATTGACCTAATCCTTCCAGCCGCACTACGGCCCTGGGGTCGACTCAGCCTCTAACAGAAATGAGTACCAGGAATTAATTAAACAATTTTCCTTGGGAGTAAAGCGCGGCCGGTGCGTAAGACTGACAACCTTGCCGCCATCTTTGAGCCGACTGCCTAGATAATGTGGGACCCTCAACGTCTCACAGCCCTATGGGCCTTCACGGCCTGTTACAGGGATAGCTTTACTTTTCTTTTACTTTTTACAGTAATAGATACTATTATGTATCGTGAAATTTGAGATTTTCACAGCTGTGACTATGAAGAATGCCGTCTTCTTGGATGTGGCGCCGTGTAGACCTTGTGTAAACCGGCGTTCCTCAGAAACGTTTCTTCACACAAAATCTACACGGCGCCACATCCCAGAAGACGACATTCTTCATATTATGTATCATGTTAGCATGCATTCATTCATCAGTGACTCTATAGACCTTTGTTGTGCCCTGGCCCCTTCTTCTGTTTCGTAATCTTTTTGACTCCTTGGAGGGGGATCAGCCTGTCACAAGGCCGCTCATACACACAGGACAACACGAACACAGAATAAACGCATACACATATCCATGCCTCGAGTGGGATTTGAACCCACAATCCCAGTGCTCCAGCGAGCGAAAATGGTTCATGCCTCAGACCGCACGGCCACGTGTTAGTACAGGTCCATAAATATGAAAACTCAAACGCATAACATGAATTTCCTACGTCATGAAAATTATTTTATTAACTGCAAAATAATTTTTAAGAAGATATATTAGTAATGTGAACACCTGGAGTGATTAAAGTATCAGTTAAAAGATGTGCTCATGGCGATGTCTCTTTAGGGGTAAAAACATGTTGGGTCCTTAAGACATCATGTTCAGTTGTAATTCAATGCCATTTATTAAATCAACTGCAATAATGTAAACTAATCTGTAAATAATCATTATTTTTCTTTTTTACTTCTTTTTCCTTTCGTTCCTTCTACCTTTCTCTTTTCTCTCTGTGCCTAATTTTTCTTGATCCTTATTGTTTTCTCCCTGCTTAATCATGAATCCACGCAGGCGCAGTACCATGTGTATACAGACTCGGCCCTGCAATTCATAAAACAGTTCCTTCCGGTCCGCTTGTACTGGTTCTCACGGTCTCTTCGCTTGCGGATTTTCTTATTTTTCCTTCTACCCTGAAGATGGAGGCGATACGTTCCTCCGAAACGTCGGTTAACTCCACATCTACACGGTGCCACATCCCAGAAGACTTCTCTCTTCAGTTCCTTAACATTTTCCGTCCCCAGGTTCGCACCTACAGTTGGGCGTCTTCCTTTAGAACGGCCTTGCTTCCAACTTGCCAAGGAGTTGCTTGCCAGTGCCGTCGAGGGAGACATGAACATGACCCAACTTATCTTTTACGACACAGTTAACAGTCCATGTGTGCCCTATCACAAACAGGGTGACCCGAATATGATTTACAAGTGTTCCATTGAACTGGCCTCGTCCGCAGTTACAAAGAAACAAGTTACTGGCAAAGTCTTCTATTATCTAAGTTATACAGTAATCCTAAGCCGCGTGCTAGAAACATCGTAAGCCTTGAAGACAATTATTTTCAGGAATATTGCGTCGTGCAGTCTGGTAGAAGTTTACCGAGGTTTTGGAGGAACTTACTGCTTTCATTTTCCGATCAATTAATATTTTACTGAAAGCTTCTCGCTTGAATGGCTTACAATTTTAGCTTGAAGATGGGAGCTATACACTCATCCGAAACGACAATTAGCTTGTATTGAACTACGTGATGTCACATCCCAGAACGTAGTAGTGTTCACTGAGAAGCTCAGGAGCCGGCCAGTTCAAACCTTGCAGCATCAGATGGGAAGCATCAGAAGCAGCCCTAACGCAAATGAAAGTGGGCACATCCTACACGTCAGGCAAGATATAGAAGTTCATAATTCAATGTTTCAAAAGCAACAGGATTCATCTACACAACTTTAAAACCACTGACGATCCAGAAAACCCCCAAAGAAACTGTAGACACGAGAACATCTATTCAAGAAACGAACGATTCGCCTTTACGAACATTTCGCGGACCGATGCATTGCGGCTACCCGTTCATTTAATGAACACAGAGCCCCGCACTTCCGAACATTCAACTTACAAACACATTTCAGAGAGCACATCATGTTCGTAAGTTTGGGTCCTCAGAAACCTTGTTGAACTTCTACCTGACTACACGGTGTCACATCCCAGAAAATATTTTCTTCAGTCATTCATGTGAGAGCCTCAAACCGAACCGAAGAACAAGCGCGGTAAATTAGGCGAACGGTAAAAATCCGCATAATTACAGTATGGCTGATACTCGCCCTGGTGAGCGTCTTCATTTCAAACGCAGTCCAGTACCAAACGAAACTGGATATTTTAGTACATCCACTATCGATGACGTAATCGGCAGTAGCATGACGTCATGGGGCAGATGTTTTGTATCAGTATTAACGAATGCAAATAGCCAGTAAACAGTAGCAGTGTTTCACATTAAGTCTATATACAGAAGGCCGACAGGACGCAGGAAAACTGCGCGCCGTACAGTCTGCTCTTAGTATCGGAACACCGAGATGGCGAGACCATGTCATGTCGACTTCACTGACCCGTTGACTTGAGAAGGCCACTTCGAACTGTTGTAAACTAATTTACTTCTGGCTTTGAGGTCCCCACAGCGGTGATTATGAAGAGTCCAGTTCTCTGGGTTGTAATGTCGTATAGTTCGGAGAGAGCCTGACGTTTCAGAGGGACATATAACCGTCGTCTTCAGGGTCGAAGCCAAGGGGAAAACTGAGTTTCTTTCCCGGCGTAATTTTCGACCCTGAAGATGTAGGTGATATGTTCCCCCGAAACGTCGCATTGTCTCCGAACCAAGAAGACCATAATCTTAAACTATTTTTCTTTCGTCTGTTGTTTATTTAACGACGCTGTCAGTATCTTGAGACTATACAGCGGCGAATGGTAGGATGATCTGCTGCTGGGTATCGACTGGAAAGGGAAGCGGTCGTGGCCTGACTGAGGTACGACGACATTTTTCTGGAGGAAACAAGCAAAACAATTCTATGGGACCCTTCTTAAGGAGTTAATAATCTCTAAGCTACTTAAGAAAGTCGACTAGGAGACTGTTGCTCCGAAACGCTGTTATTTTTGTTCCAAACTACACGGCGTCACATTGCAGAAGACCGTAATCTTGACACGGTGTTTTCCTTACAAAGACCAACTAGTTAGTACTCAAACGTAAAGGTAAAAGTAAAGCTATCCCTGCAACAGGCCGTGGAGTCCCATAGGGTTGTGAGTCGAGGTTCCCACATTTTCTAGACAATCGGCTCACAGATGACGGTGAGGTTGTCAGCCTTGCACGACGGCCGCCCTTTACCCCCAGGAAGATTCCTGGTACTCATTTCTGTTGGAGGCTGAGTCGACGCCAGGCCATAGTGCTGCTGGAAGGATTAGATCAGTTGAAAAAATCCAGTCACCTCATCGGGAATCAAACACGCGACCTTTCGGCTTGTGTCTCAACCAACTATGCTACCGTGTGTCCCACTAGTTAATACTAATTGGGTTAGTAATCGTTACAAATTTTCTGATTCGCTTTGGCGATAGTACAGGTTGTTGTCTTCTGGGTTGTAATACCGTGCAGTCTTGCATGCAAATATCAACGTTTCGGAGGAACATTCTACCTTGATAATGCAACCTAAAGAGGGTGGTAGCGTGTTCCCCCGAAACGTCGCTATCAGCTTACAAGAATGGATGATCTTAAGATCCAGAAAACCACAATGCGAAATAATCTCTGCTTATCCTCACAGTAATGTGAAACCCATACAAGTATATGCACCGTGTACGTAGAATGCATATGGTAAATACAGTAACCACTGTGCTTTAAAGGGCTAACAAAATGATACACACCACACTCCTAAAAATGCAAATGCTTTCAGGCTGTCGTAGCTTGTACTACTGTAGATGGATATCAACGTTTCGAGGAACATACTGCCTCCATCTTCAGGTTCAAAGATAGAGGAGCATGTTCCTCCGGATTTGTATCCGCCTACTAGGCTACACGGTGTCATAACTCAGAAGTTCATAGTCTCAACACTTCGCTTCGTGAAAAAACTTAAACGCAAAAGTTACTTACAATGTTTGTGTCTGAGGTTCTCACAATGAATACTAAATTCTGGGACGTGACGCAGTATAGTCTGGTAGAAGTTTACCGATTTTTCGGAGGAACGTATTGCCTCCATCTTCATGAAGAGTAAATCAAGTAAGTACGTGGCAAAGAGAAACAAGAAGTCGATCAAGAGACCAGCAGATGATCCCTCCTTCTCTTTGTTGCTGGTTGCATGATTTATTCTGTAACCCTGAAGACAGAGCAATACGTTCCTCCGACACGTCAGTGAACTTCAACAAGACTACACGGTCCCACACCAAAGAAAATAATGCTCTTTCTGTTTATAATGAGTTACGTTTGTTCAGTTACAACTAAAATTACATGTGAAATATATTCAAAATTGTGTAACTTACGTATACAAAACATCCCGTGAAGCAGAAGGTTTTACCACTGTGGTATGTATCCGTGTTAAGACGGGTAGAAAACAGAAGTCACGCATGCGTACACTAAACCCCTTGTCTACCTGTTGGGGGCAATGTTTGATGAAGGCGGGAAAATCGTTAATATTGGTTTGAGGAAGTAAAAGCGAATGTCGTGCTTGTGGCGTTACAGTCTCCTGTCTCGCAACAAGATTTAAAAATAAGCGCGCGTTCCAAACTGAATGAATATTCGTGAATATGAACAAGACAAAGACAAAGGCCAGTGGCCGTTCCAAACCCTTAGCCAGAAATTATCAGGGCAATAACATTGCTTCGTTTACATCACAACACAATACCTGAGATTCGAACTAAAAACGTACCGCGAAGATGGAGTTAGCATGTGCATCCGAAACGCTGGTACCTATCTACCAAGAAGACAGAAACACTCCATGGTCACCGCGGTGAAGACGTTAAGACGTCACAAAGTGCACATTTGCCCGCTGTTTTGTATGGAAGCGATAGGTTTACTTGTCTTACTGACCAGTCCGTTATGTAGATGCAAGCAGCTTGAAGTCGGTGACATAGGGGGCCATGTTCTTGTTACTAGTGAGACAAACAACATTTTCAGCGTTTGGGGGCGGGTGGGGGGGGGGGATCGGGATGATAAACATCTGCGCATCAAATGAACACAAGTACCTGACTGTGTGTGGTCACTTGATCCTGGTACCACTACCACAGCCAGGCTGGCAAGTTTTCCAAATATGGGCAATGTCACTGTTTTGTATTCCACTGTCCCACTTTGTTCTCTTATATAAATTCTTCAAATTTGTTGCATAAATTAAAATATATTACAAAACAACTGACTCCATGGTCTTCTTGAGATACCACCAGTCGCTCACGTACTCAGGAATTTCCTACAATTTTATGGAACCTAAAGGTTCATTACCGTGTTCACAGGAGCCCGCCAGTGGACTTTATCCTGAGCCAGATGAATCTGGTCCGCACTTTCCTCCCTACGCTTACAAGACCCCCTGTTAATATTGTCACTTGTTTGAGTGACTGTACGGGGTTTGGGCTAGATGACCCCAGCTCATAACTTCTCACCCCGTTTCTTTGAGAGCCACTATAATATTACCATCGACGTCAACGTCTTGCTAGTGATCCTTAAGACTTCCTACCAAAATTTTGTATGCAATTATCTTGTTTCCCGTGTATGATCTATGCCCTGCCCATCTCATTATCCTCGATTTAATCCGTTCTGATAATATCAGGCGATCAGTGCCCCTCGTTATGAGGCTTCCTTTCATATCCTCTTAATTCATCTCCTTGAGAACCAATTGTTTTCAGCGCCCTCTTCTCAAGTACCGTTCCTTAATGGGCATGACCAAGCTGCACACGCGCACAACTACAAGCAATATTGGTGTTTTGATTACTTCAGCTTTACGTTCACAGATAGCGGGCGAGAAGACTCTGAACTGAATCGTAGCAAACTATTAAACGGACGAAAAATGCTATTTTCTAGGATATAACGTCGTTAAAAAAGTTAAAAATGTACAGTTGTCCTTGTTCTTAACTAATTAAACACTAAGCCAAGAAGATGTATGGGGGAGTGGATGTATAGACCCATATTTTCTTGACCTCGGCAGTAGTTGGAGGCGAGTGGTCAGCTTCATGTCCCTGCCGCTTTACCCCCAGGAAAAGAGTCCCCGGTACCCATTTGATAGGAGCCTCGGTTGGCCCCAGGGCTGGTCTGGATGTCGTGGAGAAAATTCTTGACCCTATCACGACTCGAAATCCGACCCCTCGGCCATCCAGCCCGTAACCAGTCATTATACCGACTGCGCTAGTCCGTTGAATGAAAACCGACGTTTCGTAGGAACATGTCGCCTCCCTCTTCAGGATCGAGCAATAAGCTAAGACAGACCTAGTAAGTAGCTCTGCTTGCTACCTGCTTCATGTCGGTACGCACACAGCCTCCTAACGAATGGGTATCAAGGGCTCTTTCCGCGGGGTTAAAGCGGCTAGAGTGTGAAGCTGACCACTCACATCCACCTAGTATCGAGGTCAAGAAAAAGTGGATCTATACTTCCAATCTCCCGTAAGTTTTCATGGCGTGGTGCTTAATTAATTAAACACAAGAGAACTTTACGTTTATACCGCATATAGAAACGCAAGTGTTCTCATAAGCACTCAATTTATGTTCTATTAAACACGACTTTTTATTCAATTCTGCATTTCTCTAACACAATTATGTTTCCACGAACATATTAACAGAAGTGACACAGCTTAGGTCCGTACACTTCATAGAAGAAATGCGGACCTGCTAACAAGTGCCCGCTGCTTTGGCGAACAGTACGAAGTCGAAGGCATTCACTCATAAACGTGTCATGATGTTTTGATGGGAATCCTGAATTACTACAGGCTTTTGGATGGAGAGGCAGTGCCCAGGATGCGGGGCTCCATTATGTCCATACAGAGCGTACAAAACACTGCTTCGTGCCGTGTTACTTTCGGACTGTTCACTGCATACAACTCATGGAACAGAGCCCTTCTTGAGGAGTCGCCAATTCTGCAGCTACTCAAGAATTTCCCAGCATTTTATGGAATCCGAAGGCTCATTACCGTGTTCACAAGAGCCCTCCACTGGTCCCTATCCTGAGCCAGATCAATTCAATCCATACCATCCCATCATATCTCTCTAAGATACATTTTAATATTGCCCACCCACCTACGCCTTGGTCTCCCCAGTGGTCTCTTTCCTTCTGGTTTTCCCACCAATATCTTATATACATTCCTCTTCTCCCCATTCGTGCTACATGCTCTTCCCACCTCATACTCCTTGACTTGATCATTCTACTTATACTTGGCGATGAGTACAAGTTATGAAGTTATGCAGTTTTCTCCAACCTCCTGTCACTTCATCTCTCTTCGGTCCAAATATTCTCCTCAACACCTTGTTCTCAAACACCCTCAGTCTATGTTCCTCCCTTAACGTCAGAGACCAAGTTTCACACCCATACAGAACCACAGGCAAAATTATACTAAGCAAATAAAGCTTAATATCTGGCTGGCCACAACTATGAATTGTCTGTTAATGTGTCCCTCTTATCAATGTTTACTGCAACAGATCTGAAAATATTGTGACGTGTGGGCCGCTTCTAGGGAACGAATGGGCAAACACATTGCCATGGAGATATCGATTCTTGGAAACCAAATGATTACGAAACACTGTTTCCATGGATATTCAAACTGAAAATCGTAAACACTTCGAAAACCAAACGTTGTTTGGGAATTAATACACGATTCCCTTGACAACGCAACAGAGGAACTGTATGACACGGCGACTTCTATCCCGGCCGCGTGGTACCTATAAAAGGAGTTGATTCGTGCATTCAGGAGCAGTAGAGAGCAGCCCGAGATCCAGACAACAGCGAGACATGCGTCAGACAGAAGCTGTTCAGAAGGAGTTCAATGAGTCAGCTGTTATAATTGATTGTAATTGTAAAGAAATGACAATGAGTCCAATCATCAAATCCAGAACCCATTAGTATTAGTCACGATAATCCCTTACATGTGACAATATTTGGCCTACAGCCATCTTGTCCAGTAACTTAGCAACAAAAGCATTAATATCTTCTGTAATGCGACGCTGTATAATGTTGTAGTAGTTAACAGGCGTTTCGGAAGAATTTACCTCCTCCATCTTCATGATCTAAGTGTAGGTAAAGCAAAAAAACCAGCAAGAAGAGATCTGCTTGCTGATGCTCCACATTAGAACAAATTGTCCAAGCGGTCTACAAATTTGGGAACTGAAAATATGTGCATACTTGCAGTAGGGAGTTGTCACGCGAGACCGAGGAAGAAAACGCATCTGATTTCGGGAGAACTTGACAACACACAGCGCGGCTACAAGCGCAGCCGATATGTTCACGTCTGTCCGGCCACGCGTTGATGTCTGTGGGTTGCAGTCCCCATTTCACTTTCACGTACGTACCGAAGGCTGCACCCTAAGGAAAGCGTCCGTCTGCATCTATCTTTTATCCATATATACATTTTGGAACATACTGTACAATAGAATTTTCACTTCCTCGCCGAATGTACGAACTACTTCCTAATTAGGTAACGAATTGGAAAAATGAGGCACGCAATACAATATGGCCGCCCACTATTCAAATGAGACCTGCGCAGGAATGCTTGCGGCCCTGATCAGTATGCTCGGAGCATCTTCATCAGTCTAATTATGGGCAACTTTCCGGTGCTTTAAAAGGTCCTGTTGTTGCCTTTTGCGAACTCCAAGGCTAATTACACGTCCCGCATGTGATAGGTGGAAGGTTGTCATTCAGAATGTCTAAGACTTATGACGTACCTCACACCGAGCATACATTGAATAGACGCTCGTCGAAATGCCCTCCAGCTCAGGCAGTTAATCCTATCGCACAGAAGGGGTTCGATTCCGGACTAGTTATTTCATACGAGTTATATGGTGAACAAAGCGGCAATGGGGCTGGTCTTCCTTGAAGCCCCTCGATTAGTATCAGTCCGCAAATATAACGACTTCGGATGCTGAGGAACTAGGTTTCGGTTCCCGGTAGAGGCAAAAGGCTTTACTTTTTCCACAACGTCCAAATCAGCTCTGGTGGTGCATCCATTCTATGCAAAGGGTAATGACGGGCTGTTTAAGGGGAATAAAGTGGCCGGGACGTGAAGCTGACGACTCACCTCCACCCAGTTCCGAGGTCAAGATTTATGGAGTTGTAATTCCGCCCCAGCACACGTCTTCACGGCGTTAAGCATAGGGACAATTCTGCCTTTAATGTCTTGACTTTAACAAATCCCATACTCGTCTCTCATCATCAGGGGGTGGTGATATGGGCACTTGTTTCCAAAGGAGCGCGGTCTTGTCCAGCTCCTCAATCCAGAAGAATGAAGAAAATCAGGAGAGGGCGTTCAAGTTCTAGGTCGCTTTCAAGCTCAGTGTGGTTAAATCCCAGTACTGAGTAACACAGCAGTCCACCCCTTTAGAGTTCATGGGGGAAACAAAGTTTCAGAGGAACATGCTGTTTCCATC